TAATAATTAATTTATTCAAATTCTGATTAATGGAATTTTTAAATAATATATAAAGACCGTATTTTCAAATTCTTGAGATTTTTGTACTACTTATGGAGTGTCCCATGGCGATACTAACTTCGGTTTTTCAATTGAAAACCCACCTTTCTTACCTTAATTTAGAGGATAATTTTTTTTTTGTTTAATGTTGATATACTTAATTTCAAAATTCGAACGAGTAGTTTTTCAGTTATTAAAATGTTTATACAAATAATAATTATTTATTTTACAATTTATTCTGTTCTAATAACTATTGCAGTTTATCATTGTTATTATTCATTATTGTATAAATTTCCAATTCAATTTGTAACCATTATGTTGTAATCGTCGACAAGACAATAAATAATTGATATTTCAATAAATTAAAATATATACAGATTCACCAAGCATGCTCATTGTCCATTGATTTTCCTCCTATAATGCAGTTATTTAAAATCTAAATATAGGTACTTAAAGACCATACTTTTACTTGAGATTTTGCTTACTACTTAAGTATTGTACTGTGAAGTCTGGTGGAGAGACAAGATACTTATGTTCTTTTTTCAAATGAGAACCTCGTTTTCTACTGTAAATTATTTAGCAGATTATTTTTCTGAAAATGTAGATATTTAACTTTATATACTAAGGTACTATTCGCCTATGATAATGGGTATGAAATATATATTGCTGTTAACCCCATTGTTTTGATGATGTTAGTAATTAATATTAACCTATCAACACTTTCAATTTTTTTAAATGGTCCGAGTACATTAAATACTAGATCAAATATTACATCTATCTTATATTTTTGTGAAACCATTTTTAAGGGCCAGAATTATCATAAACATATCATATCGTGTTAGAGGATTTAGTAATGTGTTTGAAGATTGTATTAATTAGAGATTAAATTGTTGGGCTAGATTTTTAAATAAAATCTATAAAAAAAAAATTAGAGATTGAGACGTTAGAAAGAACTGTAAGACCTATTTATTTAGAACAGTTAATAGGATTTAAGTTTGAAATTATTAGGATAAAATAGTAGAAATAAGTGGAGAAAAAATGTTTCTTTGCAAGTTGCTTCTGGATTGGGTTGGCGGGAATTCCAAGTAAGGTTATTCGAAAGAAATAAATAAAAATCAATATGCTAAGTCGTGACGTGTTTTTAAATTAAACGGAATGTAAAAAACAAATTAAATCGATTAAAAATTAATAGTACAAATTACAAATATTTAAAAACGTATAATGCGTATGTGTGTGTGTGTGTGTGTGTGTGTGTGTGTGTGTGTGTGTGTGTGTGTGTGTGCGCGCGTTTGGAAACAGTGAATTTTTATTGGAATGTTAAAATGTATTATTATTTATGATAAAAATTAAAATTGAATAATATTAAATCAACTATGGTAATATGCTTGGATATTAAAATGTATGGGGTACACCCTCCAATTTCAATCCGCACACGCATATTTTAGATATTTAATTATTAAAAATGGTTCTAACATTAGCTTATGATTGAACTTTTAAGATCAAAATTCTTGTTGATGGTGGAATTTTACAAAAGCCTTAGTTAAATATTTATTCATTTATTTTACCTTGTAGCAGTTTTTTGGATAGGTATGCAATTATTTTCTACTCGCAATTATATTGGATTTTTTTAGAGCTCTTACTTATACCAAAATATGTATAATGTAGTGATGATCTCAAATACCATTATAGAAGATAGAATGTTGGGTGTAGGTATGCAACTTCAGATACAAACATCAAATATTAAATTAAAATGTGCAGAAAAAGATTCAAAGTGCATTGATAACTGGGAAATTTTAAGATACATTAGGTATTTTTCAAGGTAGCTAAACTTCAGAATAATAGTTATTTGGTGGTTATATAGTAACTAGTAGGTCAAACCTCATTATAATATAATGTATATTAAATACATAAAACCAAAGACTTGTTTTGTGTAGAATTTCTTACTTGAATTACTTAAACATCAGGTTGAAGATAATAATAGAGTAATTAAAATATAATTACATAATATTGGAACGATTCATATATTTTCGTTCATTTACGAACTAATATGTATTGAGACACGGGGCCACCGATACCTCTGTAGTTATAGTAGAATAAATTTTTTAACTTCAAGTTTTAAATAATATTATTATATTTTATAAAGGCTAATTTCATAAAATATACATTATATTATTATTATTAAACCTACAATTTTAATTGTACCTAGTACCTACCCACCTATATTATCAGAAAAAAAATTATATAAAAATGTACTTTTTAAATGTTTTGTTTTTCTAGGTAACGTTCCATCCTCGCAACCATCTGGGAATTCCTGTAGCCCTAACCCTACTCTTGTACATGATTTTCAATTGAAATGTATATATAACTAGAAAGAGCCATGGTTAATGGAAAATCTTTAGACATTTCCTAAGAAGTTAGTTTTATTTAACGTAACCATAGAGTGATTTTTCTTTTGAAATATATTTAAATATTTGTTCAAATATATCAGTAGTGGATAAGGTAGGTAAGTTATGAAATTGTTTACTATTTAGCCATCATTCATATCGTTGAACTGCTCTAGTGTGTGAATTTTTCGTCCCCAAAATTTAAAAATGAGCAAGTTCACGAATAATAACCTCAAATTTTGTACGACCAAAAATTATTGGAATTGCGAAGTATATTTTGATGAACTACAGTATTATTGTTTAACGACATCATCAAAGTGTATCTATAAAAGTAAAAACAACGAATATCCAATGTAAGAATTTTTATTGTTTAGACTTTTGATTCGTTCAAAATATATTTAATTTCTAAACGAAATGCTCTATAATTCTCAACACGTGAAATCATTTAAGTAAAAGCACATCTATCACTTAAAAGGGTTCTGCAAAAATAAAATGGCAAGAACCATCAATATTGTATCCTCACTTCATTCAAGCGAATTAATTTAAAACCATTATGTAGTTTTGCCACCGTAGAGTATAAATGTAATTTTAAAACACATTTTATATGTTTTGTTTCAGAATGAAGCAAGGAGTCTATTTCTCTCTATATATATCAATTATAAGTTAAATCTAATTTACTACCTATGAGATTTTTGTTGTTGTTTCAAGAGTAATCAGCTGCAGTGATCGCTTTTTCATTTGGTATAAGCACTTCTCAATACGTTCCATAACATATTTAGAGATAACTTGAGAATTTCCCATTTACATTTTAGTTAGTTCAGGTATGCAAAATAAACTACGCGAGTTTTGAATAAATCTAATAAGTAAATATGGTGGGCATTTTGTAGGCACTTACCTGTATAATATAGAATTCGTTTTGCAAAAGTTGATTATAATTCAACATACCTGATCTACCAGTCTACTGGTTACATTGTTTTGTAAAAATCGTTAATTAACCGAACCCTCAATATAAATGTCTAGATTGTCCTTTGACTTTTTTGTATTGTTATGAATTGTGTAGTGCACCGAATGAGTAGTGCAAGTAATAAATTATTCTTACCTTATTATTTGTAATATACTAAAAAATAATTATCCCTGCGGCGCGGTGTCTACACTCAGTTGCATATGCTCTATAAGTGAACACGGGGGCTGGTGTTGCTAGTTTCCGGATGGGTGACCGCCCTAGATTCTTAGCAACAAAATCCTTGCCACACATACAATCGTGTTTCAAACCAACCATCTCCCCTTACAATCAGCTAATGGCCATAGTTGTTGGACTTTGGATCAATAAAAAAAAAATTATTACGAGAGACAAATGTAACTAAATGTAACTAACTAAACTATATTCTCTAATGAACTATGATTGGTTGATTACATCACACCGCATTAACACAGGCCGACCACATTATTCCCGTTTATAATTGACCACTTTGTACTCAAACCTATTCAGTATAATATTACACGTAATCAAGAAATCAGTGAGATGATAGGTGAACAATAACAGGGGAACTGGTGTAATCAACTGCTTAGGACGTTCATTAAACTCATAGACATCATGCAGCTATACACGTCATAATAATAATATGTATTATGAATAATACACGATGTTTAAATATGAAATGTATTTTGTGTCGAGCGAATACGGATTGTTGTATTAGGCATAATAAAGTGTATGAAAGAAATGAATAATCTTAGAAATAATAATTTGTACATTTGTATCATTTTACTATTATACTTACTGAAGTATATAAATTTTTATTTTTTGCAACCATCCACACTTGATTCAATCTAATTTCGATTAACATAATACGAATGCATTCGACGCATAAACGGTTTTACGATAAAGATTAAAGATAACAATACAATTTAGGTGTATATTTTAATATACAAATGAAGAAACAATAATACAAAACAACTTATTATTAACTTACTAGATAACTTTTTAGTTTTTGGTATAGTTGTTAATAAATAATAATTATTTGGTGACAGCTGAATTAGTATGCACAAATGCACCACAGCGTGTACAGCTACTTAAGATTTCATGGTTTTCGGTTTATGAATTAATTAATACACGAACCGTGAAACTACGCTGCCTTTCGGTCGACCTACCTCCATTATGTAACTGTGAGATTGGTGTTTGATGGTTGTATTGTCCAAAATTAACACCTTCAAAGGGTTCTGATACGTAAACTTTAGAGCTTTGTTCTTTTCTTTTATATCAGCAGTCAATCAAAAGAGTGATATCATCTTTTTTTTTACAATTACAAAAATCTACATATGTATAATTATTCGGTAAATTATCGTTAGACCGTTCTTATTGCATACTTATTATTATTTTCCTCTTTTCGTTCTTACTTCTAAGTAAATTTTAGAGGACGACATTATTCCAATCAAAAAATAACACAGTTTATCTTAGTACATTTAATTTTGATAACAACATTATAATAGTACCTACATATAAAATATTTTTAACAAATAAAATTACAAATTATAATAATAATTGGCAAAGATAGTATTCAAGGATAGGAAAAAGCGTCGTAGGTATACCAACTTTCATTACTTTGGGCATATCACATAAGACATAACACACATAATCATAACAATATACTTTGACATGAACTCAAAATGTCTAAAAACCATTTAAGTAAAAGTATTGTGTATTATAAAAGGTTATAACCTAGATAAACTATGCATAAATCATAAACAGTATTACAAGAAATTATAAACACTGCCAGAATTGATTTATATAGGTACCTAATATAATGTAATATTGACGATGACCGCAATAAGTATACCTATACAGTAAATTAATAACGTATATTATGTTCTCGTTGAGCGAAATAATAAAAGCGTATAAAACCGAATCATGTGCGATTTATTGGAGTGCGCGTCCAAGTGTATATTTCGTGCGTGATGTGTTGCGTATAATATAATACATGGTCAAATAAAGGACCGATGAAACAATTCCGGTAAAAGATAGGGTACAATGACCACGTATGCGGTATTTAGCCGTAATAGACTATCATCGTTCTTCTTTAAGCCGAGCGTCAGACGTGATTTGATTTACAAAAATATAGATCTGCGTTTGAGTGGGTGTGTGTGTGTGTGTGTGAGAGAGAGAGAGAGAGAGTACACCTAACAAAAGATATAGATCGCGAATATGACCGTCAGGGTGGCTTTGTGGGCTGCACAGTGATCGATCATGCGAGAGACTCTATTATATAAACGACTCGTGATGGTAACGCCGCCGCCGCCACACACCAGTACGCGGAATCAGATTTATGTAAAAATTTGACGATTCTTTGTTTTTCGTTTTATTGATCCTCTTACGGGGGGGAGAAACATTTTTTTTCACTTTTTGGTCGACAATTTTCTCCTATAATATCACATTTGACAGAGTGGTAAGTGCCCGCCCGGAGCGAGTGGTCGGACGAACAAAAGATGCAGCTCGGCGTTGTACTATACTATAAAAGGCACTTGTGATGTCTGCTTTCTTCTGTACGAACAATACGTTTAAATACTTTTAAGAGGCGCGTTTTCCTACCAGCGTGGAAGACGGGTGGCGGTGGTGATGGTGGTGGTGGCGGCAGCTGTAGGGATGGGATACAAAGCAGTCGAAACAGGCTTTTGTCATTTCCGAGGGGAGGAAACAACCGAGGCACTGCAGGAAAATGAAAGTCTACCATTTTTGAAAAAGGTAAAAACGAGTGGGTATTATATCAGAAAAATAAAAAAAACTATCAAGGTAAATTACAGTTAACCACCGTAATAATAATGCCTAATATATCGATAAATGATTAAAAAATTTCGACATAAAGTGAAAAAAAAACATTTAAACACAATAATAATACTTAATAGTACCTACCAAGTATAAAGCTGATAATAATAATAATATAGTAACTGTAACAATAACAATAATAACAAATATATCTCTAAAACATTTCAGGTAAAAAAAATCTTCTGCAAAGGAGAGTATGTTATATTATATTATATATAATTCAACACCATTACATACCACCCATTACTCCTTCCATAACTTGTCATAATTACTGAAATGATTTAACGGTTGCATAATATTATGTATGGTACACTACAATAACCACTATTTAAATACGTTGGATTGAAATTAAAGTTATTATTAACAAAACGTGTGTGCATTGGAAATATTTTTGGAGGATTTTGTCCCCTTAGCGATAAATTACGTAATTCGAACCGTTTTGAGCTGAGATATCGTCCGTGAAGAATTTTGTGCCCATATAATGCTTGAGATATCTCTACATTTTTTATTCAAATTTATGTCTAAAACTACGCGTTACATATTATATATGTCTTAAACTAGTATGAGTGCCTGAATTATATTCATTCGAAATATACTAATATCCTATGGCGTTCATGAAGTGATTATTGAAAACATGATATTTAATATTATATCGGACATCCCGCTGTGGGAGGACATTTTATTAAAATTATGTTCGAACGGCGTGCGGACGACGTTGATTGTACCATATTAACTTAAGTGACCCATCGAAAACTCGCATGGAAATCTGGCAAGTGTCAATTGCAACAACATAATAATAATAATAATATAAACTCACCCCTACGGCACTTACACGTGCACGCGCCGAGAGGGCTGTCGTTTTGAAAATGTCAACAGACGTGCGACACTGCAATTGCAGTTGTAGTTTTTACTTACACGTTTTAAGACTTTAAGTCTACGAACAAGGGAGACGGTACGAAAGGATAATGACACTATGACAGTGTGGCAAATTATAATATTACGATAATATTATATAGCCGACAGATTTGTTTGACCAAAAATAAATAGGAAAATAACAACCTTTACTTGGATATCTGCAGAAATACGATAATAATACGGGGAATGATATATCGAATAATTATAACAATACAGGTAATAAGGTAATAATAATAATAATGTACCACGCAAGAAAACGTCGTCTAAATTTACACGATCGCAGAAATCGTTTCGTACACCTTGTACAGCAGCCAGGCTACAAGAGCGTACTTCAGGTATATCACCACCAAGTCCAACACGTAAAGTCTGCATAAAAAAAATAAATAAATAAATAACACTAAACCGTTATCGACCGCTTGTCTTGATTGGGGGTGCGTTGTAGGGTGGTAACTCATTTACACACACATGTACAATTTTACACATTCGTTGTGACGACGACCCGCTTTAGTAAGAAATTATAAAAAACGATGAAAACCCATTTACAGACAGACCCCCAAGGCCCAAGTAAAAAAGCAAACTTCTATACAGGATGTCCAGCTTTCCATACCAGATGACATTCACTAGGTGAACACTTGTAGTTTTATTAGTATTAGTCTGTATAATAATTATACCCACAAAGGCGGGAAAGTTTTTTAACTCGATTAAGTTAAGTTAATATATGCATCAATCAGAAAAGTTAAATGTCAAGGGTTAATTAATTGTTGATTAACTTAGTTAAGTGTTCCTGGAAATGTGGGCAAACTGCCTGAACCAAGGCAACTATTATTGTTCCTAAATTTGCGTTGAAAAGAGTGCTTACACTTTCAGGGTTTTTCTGGCCTTGGGTATGGACGCAGGGTCTTCCTTCAGGCAGTACTGACGAGCGCCCAGAATACAATTTCTGAAATAAACATCCATGTCCATTTTCTCGAAATCTATGCTGAACGTTTTTCGGTCCACTTCGGACAGGCTATCCCGGAGCGCCAACAATCGGTCGTTTGTGAAGTCCCAATTGCGCAACGTGAAATATTGGAGAACGCGAAGGCCGTCCGATATCTTTTGCTGAACTCTGATCATACTGTATACAAAAGCATAAAAAATGATGTACCATTTTTTCCGGAAGGCTCGTCGGTGTATCTTCGTTTTTATACTATTATGTATTAACACGTCAAAATAAAAATTATTTATTTTGGACTATATTTTGGAGGACATCAATTATAATTACATGATTAAAAAACCGGCTATCTGGTATATTCTAATGATATCTTAATAATATTTGACAACAATTTCAGTTTTTTTAACATTTTTTCAATCGTATCACTCTATACGCTAATTACTTTTAGTTAATTAATGATATATAAAAAAAAAACCATAAACTGTGCTTACTTTAAAGATGTATTAAAAGATTTTTAAATCTTAAATATGCTCCTAAGAAAATTACTATTTCAAGATTTTTGATAATTTATAATAATAATTATTGTCCAATTATAAATGTTTCAGGTACCTATTATTATAATATAAGCATACAATTTATAGTCAAGTTTTAAATCTTAAGATCCAAAATTAAAAGTATTATATTTTTACTGCTAGAATTTATATTACATTTTTAGGATTTCAAATTTTAACTTGTAAACAGGAGTAAAAACCTATTTTGAAAATTAAATTTAACAATAAATATTGTAGAGTAATCCGGTAAAGATTTCTTAAAATATATTCCACGAACGTGTTAATAATAATAGTTTTGAGCCATATACACAGCTTCTGTTTTGAATCTAAAGCATTATACTCACAAACGCTTTTGGCCGAGCAAAAACAAAATTCCGTCGATAAGGTAGGCTGGTATCCAGTGGTAACATATCACTTTATAAGTGTGAATGAATCGGCTGGACGTCAGCGACCCTGTGGGATACCACAACATAAGCTCGAAAGGGTTTTTCATCGTCTCTTCTCTGCCTTTGGCCATAACGGCTTCCCAAGTCATTGCATTTAGATTGTGCTGTGTCAAATTATACACGGGAACAACGTTGGTCCTGTACAACACAAAATATCTAATATTACGAAAAAATACTAATAATATGCACATCGGTATGACGATGTACACAAACACGTGCAATCGAAAAAAGTGTGTCGCTCGATAGCATTCGTTTAATTATTTGCAATCGTATGTAGGTAGTGCATAACATCATCGATTGGTTAGAATCTCGATAGCACCAGAAATCATCACTGTTATTAGTGGCATATATATATTTAAATAACCCCATGGTTTTTTTTTTAATTAGCTTATTATTTTGATTGACAGTTACTATCGTATTTTATCAGTACTTCCAATCAGTAGTCCTTTAATATTTGGTATATTAAATTGGACGCTTTAAGAAATACTAGTAAAACATATAATTATAAGAAAAATATATTTTATAACAATAAAGACGGTCTATAATCATTATAAGATCAAAATCAGAGTTGAAGAGTTGCATTTGCGGAAAGCAAAATTCTCAAGGCTAGAAACTTTTTATAGTTTGAAAACCTATATTTTAAGAAATACCTTGTCCCAATTTAGCGAGCTTACTAGATATCATTGAATTTTATACAAACTATACTGTGTACTTGCTATAATTGTCATTAATATCTGATGATGTTTTGTTCATTAGGTAGAAATTTCAAAATTATTTTGTGTAACGGTTCATTTTTTTCATACGAACAATATTAGTAATATTATAATTATTGCACCCGTGCCGCCAGTTGCTTTTCTGAAAAGAATTGTTCATTTGTTCATAATCTACCCCCCCCCCCTCCAATAACATCGTTTGTATACCACTGGCCATTGTGTCTATATTATATTGTTATTATTATTATTGCGCCGCAGCTTCAAGTCTGCAGATACTTGCTTTTGTTTGGTGATTGCCGTTTTCCACGCGATTACAATCACGGCGTTTATTGCAAAGTCCACTGGCACGGCTTCGGCGGTATATTCCGAATTGCAAAGTACGGACCGGAGCACGCCCTTGCCGCCCGCTGCCAATATTCCTGTGGGCCCGTTCAGATTGTCCACCCAGCCGGGCAGAGGTTCCTTGAGCGCTGGCGTCACTGCGGAAAAACAACTGTTGAGTTTTATTATTACTCGACAGCCCCCCCCCCCCCACCACCAACCATCACTACAATATACCCCATTCAAACGATCACCTCACCTATTGAAGGCCTTGCGATGACGACCGGAAGCTGGGGATAAAAATCGGCGACAACATCTTCGGCCAGGCGTTTAGAAAACGTGTAAGTGTTCGGATGTGGATTTATCAAACTGCAATCACACGTTCGACGTTTTCACTTAAGTACAAGATAACTGTTATGTAAAATAACTACAGTGATTTATAATAGATGACTGCGCAATCGGTACGATGCAAATGAAAATCTGTCAACATTGTTGCCGAGGAAATTGCATAAGAGTTGCGACGATTGTACGTTTATAGTTAGGTAACCTACAGCAATGCACATGTGCACGCTAACCGTTCGGGCAATAGTGTGATACCATAATACAGGTAAGAATCGATCTAAGTGAAAAGTTTCTTCAAAAATATCATATTTCCTATCACGTATTATATACAGTGGAAAAGAATGGTATGATAAACCGTTTACTCGATACATAGCTTATTTAATGAAGCTAGATATGTATTTTTTCTCATCATACACATTTTTGTTGATTACAACTGAACAATCTTTGATGATGAGTAAAAATTTCAAGTCCCAAAAATCGAGTACAAAATTCTTATATGAATAGATACACAAATATGCAACACCATTTCAGCGCCATTTTTAATCACCAGAATATGTACCGCATGATTTTTTTACAAATTTAGCACCGCCAGAGCTGCAAGAGTTTAAAATGTGTTTCATATAAATATTGTTCATTTGATTTTATAGTACAGGTAATATTAACTTATCATCAAAACTTGTTCAGCCATGTAGGTAACTTATAAGACGCACCATCACGAAGAGTTCGTGCAATTACTAGTTGTGAACTGACATTCCATATGATATTATGGTACATAAAATAATATATTGCACCAGTGCAATAATGCAGTCATATGGAAAAAGCTAATAGAAACTTTATAACAATATAAAATATTCATAGCTGTCTGATGGTGCACTGATTGCATAATTTCGAGCAATGGTAATAAATCGGACTATATTATAATAATTATAACAATATAGTAAATCGTAATGTACTAAATTAGTAAATAATTAATTATAATTGTAATGGGAATGCAATATTGTTTTCCTTACTGAGGCGTGACCATCTTGATGGAGTTTTCGTTGAGCCAAGACGGTAACCTCATTATGTTGTATGCGTCGAAAGTCGATTTGTGCACTTCCTCGTCTAACGTGTCCAGGTCTACGTGACAAAACGCCGTGGAGAAATGTACAAAAGCCTGAAACATTCACACCGTTGCATTATACCACGGCTGTCATCCTATAGGTTATTACTTATTACGCGTAGGTACGAGCTTGAAAAACTTTATAATGCCACTGTTGCGACCAAATCGCCGCAGTCTTAACGAGAAAACGTGATTATTGCCACATTTTCGATGGGTACCTATACGTATTTATTAATAGTCGCGCGTTGGGCGATCAACAACTTTTTGAAGTTTTCAACTCCCAAACTGGAATTGAACTATTTGTGGTCGAAAACGCACGGAACCGTTGCCGTAATCGTCCAAAAGCCGTATATTATTATAACTTTTATATACCGCATGCTAGCATCGGTTGGATGTGATTTGCTAGGTACTCAAACCAAATATTTCGGCTTATTTATAACATAGGTATCATACTAAGATTTCCATAACTGCGTCTACAATACATGATTTCTATGCAGAATACATTTTCCGAAATCTATGCGAATTTATAAGAAGGTACCTTACGTCATTAACGTGTCTCTACACCCAGTGAAGTTTTAAGGAGGGGTGGACCAAAGTGGGAATCTAGATAAAAAATGTAAGTGAAAAAAATTCCACAGTAAAAATATTCGGAGTAAAATTGTCCAAAATCAAAAATATTCATGGTAAAATTGTTCAGAATAAACATTTACTTATTTACTGACCGTAGTAAAGTTGTTTGGGATAAAAATTAGAATACAATTTACTACATTGTTTTATACTTTGAAAAAATACAAAAAAAAATATTTGTTGCTTATTTTAAAAAAGTCTGTTAGTTATTATTTTTAAAAATTGTCTTTACCCACGAGGTATCTACTTTATTATAATGCTTAAAATAAAATTTCAAAAGAAAAAATCAGATAATTAACATAAACACATATTACTTACTAAAAATGTATTAAGGTCATTCAACATTTTTGTCCATAATTTTTTCATAATTTTTATACTCCACGCATATTTTTTAAATTTTTCTTGAAAATTAGCATACCTACATTATTTTTTTTTTTTGCTGGATTATGTACAATTTCTCTTTGACCTAAATTAATTAATTAACAACAATAAATAAACTAACTGTATTAATGTTCTTCATTTATTCCATTACAATACTCTCATTTATTTGATTTCAGACATCCTTAAACTCGGACATTTTCACCGAGGACAATGGACATTGTAGTAGAAAAAATATTTCGATCTTAACTTATCTCGATAAGCTTCGAGAGGTTTTGGTGCCAAATTGTATCTATAATTGGTACTTTTTGGAAGTCAAAATTGAAAAATCCCCAGTACTTTTTAAAATAATCGAGAATCATAAAAAAAAATCGAACATCTATTAAAAAAACTGTAATATTATTATTAAAATAATATATTGTTTGGTGTCAATCGTTACCAAAAATGTTAACACTCTCCTCACTCAGAATCGTTTTTCATTGTATAAAATGATTTGTCATTAAATTAAAGTTTAACACATCCATCGAAGTGACCTACTCAGTGTAAGGTACGGGCGACACCTATATTTTTATACAGAAAAGCGGTTTCCTACTTGACGGTTATTTAAATATGGAAAGCGAATAAAATTAAACGTGCCAAGTTTATATTATGTGTATGTAAGAGTTTTTTTTTAATATAAATATAAATATATATATACATATATATAGTATAATATATATTTTTAATTTATTCATATATATAATATAATATATATTTTTAATTTATACATATATATATATATGAATTAAAAGATATCAATGTGGTGGTTATTAATATTCAATTTTGTATAAAACTATTGTGGAAGGGTAGTTGTATGGTGGTATATTCGTTACACGGCACCTAATATATTTCACATTTTAAAATGGTTATAGATTAGGGTTTTTCACTCACTATCCCATTCAATTTCATAGCTTATTTAAAAAATAAAAATAAAACATTTCTGTAATTCTATATAAAATGAAATGTCAATAACATAATATTTTTTGAGAAAAACAGTATACTAGTAATTTTTTTATTTTTATTTTTAATGTTAGTTTCTAAGACAACCAATTTCATACTTCAAAGCTTTGTGCGAAAACGTTGACATGTGAATGGTTTACATCGGTCAGACAATTTTTTTTTATTCGTAGTAGATAGATTGCATGGTTAATGAGTGTTCTGTGTCAAAGCATCATTCTGCGATTACTTATTATTATTATTATTATTATTATTATTATTATTATTATTTTTTACATAACATTATTTGATTAAAATATTTAAAATCATGATTAACGGTACATTTTACAAGGCCAGGCATAATTAACTGTACATAATATATAATATAGGTATAATATATATATATTATATATATATATGTAATATAAACATTTATAAGTTTATCGTGTCGACAAAAAAAAGATGAACTCATATTTTAGCCATGGTCGATAATAAATTTATATTATATTATTTTGGTCGGTACTAATATTATAATCATATACCTACAATATAAATTGTATTATTACCTCTAAATTTTGCATTTCGGAACATAACTCGAGCATGCGTAGCGTTCCGGTTGTATTCAAGTTTATAGCCTCGGACAGTGACGCGTCCAAGTTCAACGTAGCTGCTCCGTGAAAAACAATCGACACTTCCGATATCAGCCTTTCCTTCATCTCCTGTGTGATGCCTAGCCCGTCCATACCCACATCGCCGCATACCACTTGCAACTTGGACAACAGCGATTTGTTTGTTTTCCTAATGGAATCAAACAACTATCACCGAAATATTGTAATCTCGTTGAATATTAAGGTATAATATACGCCTATTACATAATGGATGACATTCTCACCGGCGCTTTTATGATTTCTTGGTATCGCAAAAGAGCAGACTTGCCTCTTTTCGATCTTATCAACACAAAAATGTTCTTTATTCCAGGACAACTGTACAACAGTTTCCAGACAAGCACTTTTCCCATAAGACCCGTACTTCCAGTGACGAATACTGACCGGCCGTTAAAAAACTGAGGTACAACGCTTTTTTCCATCTTGGACTCGACCTATTTAATCAAACGGATAAAAACATAATATTAATATTATGCTCACACGTATACGTTTTTATCGTTTTACGTATTATACAGTTTATTATTATTATTATTTTATTAGTTTGATAAAGGCTTCAACAGCACAGTTAGCCTACATTGACCTAAGATTCAATCATTTATATATTATTCCCTATACATTTACTAAAATCATATTTATTTGAATAATGTAAAATTAGTATCCTACTTAATCTAGATTTTAAATTTAATGCCGTAAATATAACAGTTGTATGATGTATAAGGGTACAAAAAATACTAATATAAATTTGCCATTATAATATCATTATTTAATTAACGTACACGAGATGTCGCTAATTTAGTGTTACACCGATAAATTAAAAGTACATGCATAAATTAAACTGTTATTTTCGAGTTAGTCAAATTATAATTAAATTACTAATTCAAATCTCAATAAACGAAATAGGTATATCATTATTTAAAACCTATTTGCATCATAAACGACGGACGTTATAAAATAATTGTATAAATATTTCAAACTAATTATACAGATTACATATTACGGTGTGATAACAGTAAATTACAATACAAAATCAATTGATGGTAATATTACTATAATGACAATAATAATATAAATATATGATATTATCATACATAGGTTTGTAGTTAATGACAGTACCGAGGTCAAAAATAAAAAACTGTCTATTACGGAATCGATCGACGATGACCGAAAGTTGAAAACTAGTTTGACTATTACGTTATACGCTATAAGCTACTATTTAAGTTATGTGGGATAACTATATTATTAAAGTTGTGTGGGATAACTATACTATTAAAGTTATGTGGGATAACTTATCATTGAAAATTGTTTTTATTTTTTGATTATATTATGAAAATAAAAATAATAATAACAACACAGTATTAAAATATGCACACGAGCGTCACGATTTCTTCGCTTGCATAATATTATTATTAAGTAACAGGTTATTACTAATATTATTTATAGTCTATGCAAAGACGGTGTTTATAATAATAAAATCTAAAAATAAATAATAAATTAAACCAATAATATTGTGACTTGGTGTGGTGCGGTGTTTGGCTTCAGTCACTGGTTCTGAAGTCAAGCATCAGCAGGTGTCACTAGTCCCCGGATGGGTGGCCACCCAAGTTTAAGTGACAAATCCTCGGCACACATACACGTGTTCTAACCAACCTTACCCTTTCTCAAAATAATAAATCTACTAAATATCCCAGGCTAATGACCTTAAATGTTGAGACCTCAGCTCAATAAAAAAACCAACAATTACAATGCATTGTATCTTGAATTATTTTCTCATCGAATACGATGTGTTTTACATAACTGTAAAATGGTAAGCTACGAACAACATGCGATAACTACAAATGTTTCTATATATGGAATAAGGAATAGATAGTAGACACTTCGAATATTGCATATATTATCGTTTGATAATGGTACATAATATTTATTATTGTGATGTGAAATAGTAAAAGTTTAATCATCAATGATGTACAGATTGTACACTACTACACTGTACGGTGTATTAAACGGTAAGGTTAGATAGGCCTCTTTGACCTCCTAAAGTAATAACATAATATTATTAAGTAACATTTTTACTGACTTTATATACTATATTAGGTTTATTACATAATATGTTCTATATTATTATTATGTTTACTGTTTTGGATATTTTAACGTTCGTCAATTTTATGTCATATGTCTTCAAAAATGATTTTAAAAAAAAGTTAATCTAGAGTTGCTTAAAAGCAATAATATAACAATTATTTATGTTTGAGTTATACACAAATACATTATACATAGTCTGCGATAACGTCTTATAAATGCAGTTTCCTTACAAAACGTGTAAAACCAAACATGGTTAGAAACTTTTGTACTACAAAATTATAAAGTGACACTCCGTCAATAACAATTTATAGAAATTGATATGGAGAAAAACAATCAATGATCGAGAAGAAAATTCTATTTCGAATAAATATACTTACATATTGTTTTTAAAATAACAATTTCTGAATTAAAAGAAAACAATAGAATTATAAACATGAAGCTTTACTCTGAAGTGTACTTTTTATTTGCTGTCATCCAAAAATCTTTTGTGAAATCAAAAATTGACCTGTTCGAGATATTATATTAGTGTTCAATTATTTCAAAACTAAGTGGACTGTGCAAAAGTACCTACTTATTGTACCGAAATTAAATTATTATGAAAAATGTGTACATTCAAGCAATACTTAACATGAGTACATGACATTCATACGTGGATAAATAAAGTAAAGATTTTCGATTTTGAAATTTGTAATTTATTGTACTTACAACATAATATAATATGAATACAAATATACAAGTATTATAACTAAGTATTATTATAGTATTATATAATTAGTATAATACAATAAACATATAAGGGATCAGTAAAAACATTTACCTACCTACTCATTATACAATTTTATCACTCTTATATTCATGACAATTTTGATTTAGTTAATAGAAGTAAGGAAGTTAAATAAAAAATTGTTTAAAAAATACAAAATAACGTTCACGTTTTCAAAACATTTAAATATTAGTCCATAAAATAAATACATAATACCTAGATATATTCTATACGAATATTTTATTTTTTTTACAATTGTTTTGTGAAAGTTAATTACTCGCGAGATGAAATTCTGGAACAACTAGATATTTAATGATTTTTATTTTTAGTGTATAGTTCTTGGAACTCGATTATTTTAGGCCGTAAATTAACTAACTTTTATTACGAACGTGATAAAACCTAAAAATTAACCAATGCCAATAAAACAAAATACATACATCGCAGCTTATTTTATACCTCAATACAGAGAGAGTGAGAGAAAGTGGGAGGACACTAGGGGCGAGGATTAATTCTTCGAATGAATAATAATACCTTATTAACTAATCTTTGGAATTAATTTTCAAGTACTTATCCAAAAATTAAACGTGAGGAATATTGTTTTATGAGTCTCGTTGTTCTTTGTATGTTTTAATTTATAGAATTCGCACATTTACTAATCACAAATGCACTAATGTATGTCACAATATTCAAATCTTACATGCAGATCCAAAAATGAAAATAATACTGCAAAAGTGCAAAAATAGCTCTCAAATATCTTACACTTTTTGTTATGTCTTTTAAATTATCCCCTCTCCCCAAAAAGAAAAAAGAAATAAAAAAATACATAATTGTCACGGTTCTTCTCACCTCGTAATCCTTATTTTTTATCTAAGGGCCGATTCATACGCGCCACTCTGACAACGGCGCGTACGAACGTAATCAATGTAAACTAAAAACGCGCTCGTACGATATGTCAAGTATGATACGTGTCCATGTGAAACAGACCTAAGACTCTGCATGGTAGTTTGGTTAATGAGGGGCATTTCCAAACCAAGTTGTTTTCAATATTAAGCCATATTCTATAAATACCCATCACTTATCACAACAAATTCGTATAAATTGTGTAAATGAGTTAAAGAGAAAAAAGGAATTCGCGTCTATCGTTTCTGTGTACACTGTACAAATACGAAGAAATAATTTCAATTCTACTCAGAGGTATGTATGATAATAATCGTTTTATAAATCTCGCACGGGATAAAATGCAACCATGTAAGACGTGCATTTTATGTATACGTTTGTTCGATACTCATATTACACAACTTACTGAAATCGTATTGGTATTATAAGACTTACAGTTTGAGTAGTAATCAGCGTCCCATCGGGTGGAAACCACATGCGTTGGCAGGTTTAAAGAATTTTAACTATAAGCGTCGGTTTTTGCACTTTATCTACCAGACTCGCGGTTTATGGTGAGATTAACGAAACGCAAAATAATATAATATGAACTTATACGCGTAAACTTCTCTAATGAAGATAAATTATGAACTTTAAGAGGTCTCACGGTAGTGCTGGTAAAAACGAAACTGGTTTGTATTTGTTTAGTTTGCAGCCGGAGAGTGTAATGAAAATCACCCGAAAGAACGTCGCAAAACTCGTTATACGATCGTTATAAAACCTTATTCCCGGTATTGGCACACCTATCTATTCGAGTGAAAACAATAATAATTAACATTTCACATTTAGATCTCGATCCTTACGCACTTGACGATTTGTTTATAAATATAAGGTATTTTAATACAAATTATATACTTAAATCGTCGATGTGCCCGATGTATTATTCTGCAACAGTCATAATTTACCATCATGATTTGGTTAAAATATTTTACAAATCATATTATCCAAGTCAGTTTTACAGTGATCTAGTAAAATTTAATATTAATTACTTAGTTAAAAACAAGTCGTTGCATTTTTACGGTGTTTCGAAATACCAATAAAAAAACACACCGTTGAATTCGTTGCATATGTTTTTAAAAGTAAACCGTTAATTGATACCAATTACCAAGTAAAATAAATTGGATCTGAATAATAATAAGTACCTAGCCAATAGGTACATGCTAACTTTTAACGAATAAATAAAATATACACTTACGTGAAAAAACAACTAAGAACGTTTTAATAATTTATTGAATTACAATAATAATTATTAACTATTTCATGGAAGTAAAAATAAATACTACTCACTACTCGTTAGTATTTTAATATAGGTACCAATATTATATAGTTATATTTATTTAAGAAAAACGTTTTGGTATACAATATTTAAGTATCGTACATTCGTACAGTTCAAACATCTTTTTGTACAAAGGAAACAAAGTAGATAGAATATAAAATATAAATTTGATGTCATGTAACGCTAAATTGCATAGGCATAAAAACAAATTAAATGCCAGCATACTATTACTACCTATATATAGGGATGCCGCCCCGCTCGACGGCATCCCCTCGAGCTATTTTCAGGCTATTAATTCTACGTTGGTAATATTCATCGATTAGGCCAATTAATTACTGTACCTTTTTGTACAGATTGTAAAAAATGAAAATATCTAAATAATCTATAACCTAACTTACTATATACTCCAGCTGCAGCATTTTATGTCGGTATCTAGGTAGGTATGGTTTTTTTTTTCAAAAACTGGCCGGCAAAACTTGAGTTTATATGGTTTTTAATTTCAAAAGTGTCGAAGACGTGTTTCGTCCATAGACCTATTCATATAAGGATTGCCATTTTTCCACCTCATCAGTCTATCGTGTATAATATGGTCATCAAAATTGTATATTATAGAGGTGTCCATTGTGCATATACCATATAGGTATACTTTGTTCTATACTAAACAAGAATTGTGTACAACAACACGTCTTATTTCGTGTCGTGAGAGGGCGTTATAACTAAATGGTTATAATAACTGATAGCCAATTTACCTCATGGATGAGCTGTTGTCAATTCTTGCAACTTGGTTATTACATGATGCCAAAAAATGAATGTCCAATCACAGTGCGATTTGATCAACACGACACGACATAAATGTGAATGCGCCTTAACGAACGGCGTGCAAATACGTTGTGGTGATGTAGTCTGTCATGACTAGTATAGAGTATGGACTATAGAGTGGCCATTTTAAGAAAATAAAAAACGGAACAGCTGTTATTCCCCGTCTTCCCACCCCCGGAAAAAAATTTTCATTGGCCCTCGATCCTAGTTCCAAGAAAACTGTTATCTGTTATTTATAACTGAAGCAGAGTTTAAAATACACCGTGCACAGTGTTTTGTTATCATACACGTAACATTTTGGAAGTAGACGTTTTGTGGTGTCTTGGTTACTAATGGTAATTAGAAGTACAATTGTATTACCACACGGTATAAAGTTGAATCAAATTCAACTTTGTGTTATCATTGGTAGACTCGGCATACCATGAATAAAAACCAGGTTATACCTGCTATCAAACACGTGGTTCAGCCAATCAAGATATCTATACAAATGCACGGAACACGGTTCACGGTGTATTGGAAACTCGGCTTTGACTAGAATCTAGTATATCTAAGGAGATGATGATAGTAAGGGACAGTCGTGGAAGAAATATGTCTATGCGTTTTTATTTATCTATTATTTATTGTGGTTTTAGTAATAATTTATTGTGGTTTTAGTAATAATGAGAACTAGGTAATGATTATTTCATGGAGTAAATAAAAATATTAAAGAACTCCAAGATTTTCAAGAAAGAATTTGGAGTGTATTGGTACTTATCGGGTCAATTTTGATCGTTCAAGAAATTACACGTGCAATATACAAGCGATACGTACCGACCCGTATCGGACTCGGACTCCGATACTAGGTGGTACGTAACTATTCCGTATCGATACGTATCGAATTTTTCTTCTTGAAAATCTTTCTGCTTCCATTTTGCCCACCATCTTTCTCTATTAATATCGGTCCCGATTTTCTTTCTCTGAGCGCAGTCTATATATTAATAGGTCTATGCGGTTTAATCATTAAATCCCGTTCATATTCCCCTATAAATAAAATTGTGTCTACGTTTGACAGTAAAAAAAAAAATTATTTGGTTATTGAAAAATATTTTATCGACATCAAACATACTGCAATCAAATAAAATATAGTAAGTTAAAATCACGTCCATCAATTATGATATATAATTTTATATATTATATTTATTTATTCAATAAAATACAAATATTTGAAATATTGTTTCTATCAATTCTATCATAATATTATGTTTAGCTATCTACTGTATACGTCTTGTAATATTATTGTTATTAATATAATTAAAGTGCACATCGGACATCTATTTGGAAAGCTCAATGCTCAAAACACATGTAACGAATGTCCAATTATTACTTATTGGTACAACATAATATTATTAAAATATTTCTTGGGTATAACTAAACTCGAGTTGTTAGTAAAAAGTTAGAAGATATCATACTGTACTTTCCGTTACCGTTCGCATGGAGTACCTATAGTTGATTGATGGTCTACAATAATAATAATAAAAAAATGAAACACTTTCGCCTGGAGATAAGCTACTCTATTCCACTTATTGCATAAGATTTTAGGGCTATGTGGCGATTTATAATTATATAACTGTACTGCAGTATAAAATAATAGTATTATTAAAACGCCGAAATTAATCAATACACGGGAAAACATAATAATAAGTTATATAATAAAATAAAAACTGCACATTTAAAATAACAAAGTACAATTATTAGCGTATATAATTATGAATAATTTAAATTAATCAATATTACAGACGAGGTATTAGATTTAATTATAATAATTAATAATACCTTGTACGTTGTATGTTAATATTGGTAAACACGATTTTATTAATACATTTTCAATTTAGGTGTGATACAATACATAATGTTATTATAGTGGATTTTAGTTCTGTCATTTCCAAGAATTTATCGAATATGCAAATTGCTAAGAAATGTAATGCGAAGAGAAAAATGCACTACGTTTAATTTTCGTACAGGCGTAGGGTAGATATACCTAATAGTATATATGATAATATGTTTTTTATTAAAAATTTATAAAGCATAAAAACTGATCATTTTAAAAAATATTATAAAACGTATCTGTAGGTACCTAGCTATCTATAAAACGTATTTCACACAAATAAACTTAACGTTGAAATAATATGCTCGCAAGTGTCTCAGATAATTCGTTATATAAAGATATATATAGGTATTTACTGTATAATATATTTGTAACGACAAACTTCAACACTTCAGGGTATTTGTATTTTGATGACTGACAAATGTTAGTCGATAAGTTTATCAGAAACGTATTCCAAGAAGGAATCGGATGTTGGCTATGTCACTTTACACTATCTGGACTTGAAGTCCTATGTACCTACTCGTAACTTAAAGTACCTGGAGACTGTAATTATTGATAACTCTATTCGTCTATTCTGAAGGGCTATGACTTGAGTTCTCTTGTATCTACCATTACACTATAGTGCTGATGTTTACAGAACGATAAACGAAATATAATGTTTAACTATATCATAAATAACTATTAAGCATAATAATTAATTTATAAATATTACAACTTTCACCTAAATGGTAATCCTAAGCTTGTCTCCTTGATTGGAGGAGTCACTCGAGACGGTGAACTTGACTACTAAGAGTAATTAAATAAATATTAAAAGCAAAAAAAAGAAATTCATATTTTTCCAGTGGCGGTTCGATTATTAACTGTCATTAAAACATAAGAATGTAAGATTAACATTTTACCTGAGATGATTATCATGGCATGTCTCCCTACATATTAAAATCCTCTCTTAATGTATGCTGACTTCTATTGAAATATGCCGTATAACAAAAACTGGATTTGCAGCTATAGTAATGACTACCCTATATATATATGATTTTAATTTGTTTTTAATGAATTCGGAAATTGATGTGTGTGATAATTCTGTTAGTGTGTAGTTTGTACAAAAACTACTACTAATATATGCATTGTGATATCGTAGAGTAATATTGAACATTTGAAACAGTTTTCATTGAACTTATTTTAAAATCCATTATTTTTACTGCCCATATAGTTATAGTACAGTAATATACATTTGACAATGTTTTAGTTAAACAGTTTATTCCATTTGCAAATTATTGATAAATTCAATCCCGTGAAAATCTAAATAGGATTAATTTAAATGCTTGAACAAACATTACAAATGAGTGTTGTTTTTAATTATAGTCTATAATAATATATACCTAGTGGCAAAAGCCATTTAAAATTGATATTTAATAAGTAAACCATATTTCTAATTAAAATAGATTATAAAACAGAATTATATTTGTTAGCCATGATTATAACAATATTATTATAACATGGATAATTTATGAATGTACAATGTTGCAGGTTAAAGAAATCATTGAACCGAATAATACAATAATTTAAGAGTTAAAAGTATTGAATAGCTTTGTTTAAAAGTTACATGTTTTAATAGGATTATTAAAAGTAC